ATAGAATAGTCAGTGGCAGTTTACTTCCTGAGTAAAGTTCCTTTTAGTTGACATTAACCTGAATCATTCAAACTAAACTAAATCCACTTGTTCTGTAATTTCAAATCTCTCCAGCTCTAAAAATATTCCCCAGTTTCAGGACAGAAATTCAGCATCAAAAATGATGACACACAAGACCACTAATGGGGTGACAGTGCATAAAATAAAAGCAAATTACTTCCTAAACCCATTTTTTAAAGAAGTGCAAGAATAAATTATGTTCTATTAATGTGATTTGAGCCTAAGTGTTATGATCCCAGTAATAAGGACATAAATTTGAACAGCTGATGAAAAGGTGATGAAATTTCTAAAAGATTTTTAATCATTGCCAATATACTTTGAATTATGCATTTTGTTTTTTTAAAGCCGTCTTCTGTACAATATGCATTAGCTGCTCTAAAATATATGCAATATTTGAACAGATCATAAATAATATCCTGAATGCTTTATTATTTGTTATACTTGCACACTGAATTGATGTTAAAGACAACTTATTTATCTGATATTTGGAGGCTATTCCCTCGCATCAAAACTTGCAGAATTACCAAAAGTGGGTCTAATGTATTAATTTTTCCCCACGGCCATATTTTAAATTGTTAAAATGTTGCGGATACGGTTAAAGAAATAAACTCAATATTGCAACAGCTTTAATTTACAATTGATGAGAACGTTGCTTTCACATCTCTTGATCATTATGCTCGCTCACAGTGGTGAGCAATTAAACAGTAAACAGAGATTTCATTTTCACCTGAGACATGCCAGCACTGTGAAACACACTGCATGCACAGAAACACTGAGAGAGTCAACGATGAGGCCAATAGAATAATGTTTATAGGGAGAAAAAATATGCAAATTCCACAATTATAACACCTCTGCTTGAATAGGGCTTAGATTAGATGTCGGCTCTTACCAAAAGCATTTCCACTTCTCATTTCCAAAACCAATTCCCCTCTATGTATATTTTCCCCAGTCACTTGATTGTGTGCAGAAAATGTAATTGGCTTCATATTTAAAGACATTACATAGTGTTTCATTACATAATGACACTGACAGATTTCCTATTAGGGCAAAAATTAAAAAGGTGTTCTGCAAGGAGCTCCTCACACAGATTGCTCAGAGCCCCTCACTGAAAATCTGCATGCAGTGATTACACGTCTGTCAATCTTTTTCAAACTAATATGAGAGAATGAACGCATATTAGCTGCTGAATGAGAGTGTAGTTGTTTTTATACTCAGGAGGCCTTTTCCTTCATCCACATCTCTCTGATCTATCAAATCACAAGCCCAGTTTTACTGGAATTTACTCGGGTTCAAATACCAGAAGAGGAAATAAAAAATCCTTTAGCCTAAATCAAAGGTAATCATTGTCAAATTTCCTTCATGACAGGTTTTATATTTTTCATCATATTTAAGCAGACTGTATGCAGGTGTAGATTCTCAATTAAACAGGCCATGTTTTATTTTCCAAAGATGTGCAAAATTTACACAGATATTATTCATTTACCATCCTTAAGTGAGAAAATATTTTTAACAACAAAAATGCCCCCATCAAAAATAACCACCATATGAATAATACTGTGTGATTATGAAGAACACCCTGAATGTAACTTCTTCCAACAGCTTTTGTAGGCCTCTCAGACACTTAACAACTTTTAATTTAACGGAGTCCATCTACAGCGCCATCAAAGTAGAAAATTGGTTTATTGCGAAATCTAACTTATCCAATTTGGATGCAAACTTCTCTGGACTCAATGAGGTGGTCAGCTGGGCTGCCAATTACATGTGAATGTGATGGGATTAAATGTTTACCCGAATCCCATCTCCGATAGAAAATTTAATCACAAGTGTTTGTTTTTGAAAATTGCACATAAACAAGTATGTCATTTCTGTGTGGGGTCACAAACATGTCCAGCTTCTGAAACTACTTCCAAAGACCAAAACGACTTATCAAGAAATGCATTGATCTAGATTTTGTAAATTAGAGATATTTACCAGTTATTTTCATTTTAAATTTCAACTGTTTTCATTATGAAGTTAATTCCAAGGTGAGAAGCAATCAGGCAAAAGATCAGTTTGAATAGTGGACAGTGTGAAACACACACTCTAAAAATGAAATGTTGGATTTACTTAACCATGTTATGTTACCTGGTTCCACTTAACTGAGTTGAGTAAATTCAAAGCAACATACTCATGTTCTTTGGCTAAAAAACTGGTATATTGCTTTGAATTTACTCAACTCAGTTAAGTGGAACCAGGTAACATAACATGGTTAAGTAAATCCAACATTTCATTTTTTACAGTGCATGAAGCTTTCACTTCTTTTACTTCTTACTTGGATTTGATTGTGATTAATTAGGTCTGTGTCAAGGGCCACGCATGCAAAAAAGGCACCCACCTTGGCTTCAGATTCCCGGATGAGTCTCTGAGCCTCTTTGAGATTGTCTTTTTCAAAAGCTAACTGTGCAGACACAACACACACACACACACATACACATACACACGCCAGGAGCAGGCACGTCACAACACAGATGGCAACAAAAAAGCACAAATGAGGGTGGGTTAGATAGATGCTGAACAGGAACACTAGTAAACTTCAACAGGTACAAAACTCACAGCAAACACAATAAAGACAGGGAAGATGCGAAGAAAGGAAGGAGCAGGTCTCTTACACAGTTAATGACAATGGCAAGACAGAGATATATTCCTATTATGTCAGAATGAGCTATTTCATGTGCAAGAGGCAGAGTGTGATGTACTTTTACACCTAAAACAAGATGTAATCTATCTTCAAAAGAACATCAACGTAGCGCAATGACTGCATAAAAGGCAGACAGCACAGCATCACTGACAGTTGGTGCACCTTAAAAAAAATGCCTTCTTCCATTTCCGTGATTTTTTTTTTCTCTTCCTCTGGCATCACAAAAACACTTTTCAACTTTGCACCCTCAGATGTGTGATGGGCATTGATTTCACCGCGGAGTCTTTGTTTTAGAAATGTACCCATTGTTGCTTTGATATTTCAGTCTGTGCAGCCTCGCCAAAGTAAGAAAATAGGAATGTGTTCTGCAGCAACTAAAATGCAATATTTTTCATGGAGTCAATCCCGCAGAAAACCTCTAACTCGTATAGACTGTAGACGCCTAAATATTTAATGTGCAAAATGGAAAAAGAGATGGGAACTTTTCAGTGTGTAATTTAAAAATAACTTTTATTTTGTAAAAAAGCTTTGAATTTAGTGTTAAAATGTAATATTTAAAGCAAAAAGATTTTTCTTCTTTATACTTCACAGTAAGAAATTAAAGGATATTGGCTTTCAGAAATCAAAGAACAAGCCAAAGAGATTTTCTGCAATTATTGTTTGCCCTGTTTTCTTTGCCCTTTTGATCATTAACTGAAGCAACAGTGTCTGCAAGAACACACAACGTATATGATGCACTTAAAAGACAGTATTTCCACTCTAAGTTGGTCCATTTTCAGAACAACAAAGTCCATAAGTGGTCACTTTATTCTGAGTTCTACTGCCTTTGTCAGTTAAGTCAAATTCTATACTCAGTTAGGGTAGACGGCAGTCTGGTGTTAAAAGACAGGGAGAGAGGTCTACTACACCTCCAGCTCCTCTGGGGGCCATGCTGGGTCAGCTACAAGCTGGCCAGGTTGTTAAAACCTATTAATGGGATAGTGCAGAGTGTTCCAGCGAACCACTGCAGTGCTACATTATTCATCACATCTAGAGCCGATTCAGTGAATAGCTTTCCCTTCTGCCTTGAATGGTTGCATGCAAAGGTTTAGGGAATAGTGGATGAGTTCTATTTCTTTGTGATTTCAGCGTCCTTTGTTGGTGTTTACAAGCAGAACCTCCACTCAGCTCAATTGGGAGATAATCAAACAGACACATCAAACATGCTGCTTGTTAAAATGCCAAAGTTCTGGAGAAAGACTCTCATTAAACATGTCGGGTTCACAAACAAGGTGAAGAAAAGCAACTCAGACATGCGTGTGTTTTAAAATGTGACAGGAGTTCAGTTTAAAGGATGAAAGGTTAGGGGTAGCTGCAACTTCATTCATATTCAGCAAAACGGCAGTGGTCGCCCGGCTACTTTGATGGACAAACTGAATTCATGTCCTCACATTAATTTGAAGGTTCTGCACTTTGACGGTTAATGACTTCTCTAACACACTGTGTCAGAAATTGGAGTAGGTTACAAGGTGTGCATTTGGAGCCGAGTGTTCCTGAAGCAGCAGAATCCCAGCTGTCTGAGAGAATGATGATGTAGGTGACAACTGAACTGTCTTTTTTTGGAAATATGCAAAACGACTTCAGCTCATGCATTTGTAAAATAATTTAAGCAAGGCACATGGTAACAACTACATGCATTTTTAAAGCTGTGCAAATTCATAAAAATAGTAGGGGTGTCCCGATCCGATATTGATATTGGATATCGGTCCGATATCAGACAAAAAACGAGTATTGGATTTTATCGGCCTGCATAAAAAATGTCCGATATTAGCAGTCCACTGACTCCACTCCAGCGTTTCTATCCAGCAGCGCTTGGATCCAGCATGCAGAGCCCACGTGATTACAACAACATGTTGTGCTAACAAAGTAGCAAGAATTAGGAGCGATGTCGGCAGTACTTTCTATTTTCATCAAAAACAGAGTTGAAGCTAAGTGCAAAATTGTCATGCACAAGTTTTCTGTGGGGGCACAGAACCGTGAACGTTTTAAACCGTAGCGACAACCAAGCTTTACTCTCAACCCTGGCAGCAGCTTTGCGGTTCGACTCGGTTCGGCCTCGGTCCAAAAGTGTCTCCATGATTCCAACCGAGCAGAACCTCCTCTCACTCCGGTGGTTCTAAGCGGGCAGAAGCGAGTACAGCACGCTTACGGTTTTGACATCAGCAGAATTTTGCCCGTGGATTAGCTCTGGGATTGATGGACAGAAGAAAGGAGAGCGCTGATTTTGTTTTGGAATACAAGCGCGACATGACGAGAGCAGTGCTAAAAACTGCAGGAGCGAGAGGCTAATCTCCACATGATGCTCAGACTTTAGGAAGTGGAAATGCAAGAAATGTAAGAAAGGTAGCTATCAATTTAATTAATTGACTAATTCTTAGTATTTAATTTTTTGCTTTTGTTTGTAGAGTGATGTTTAATCTGTTTACACACTTGTTTTAGTGAAGATTAAGTACAATGATCATGTTGTTTTGGGCACAGTCAGTAAAATTAGCTCTAGACTCTTAACTTTGAACAGACAATAATGTGGGGTTTCGTTTTGTCCCCACCTTCAGTTTTTCACACCATAAAGCAGCTCAAGGCTGACAGATAGTAAAAAAATAATAATAACTGGAGTGATTTAGAATTGCTATTTTACACTTTAAAAGTACATTTTGTTTTTATTATGTTTTACTTTCAGGGTATTGTAATTAATTTTATTTATAAAATTGTAGAATGTTCTTCAGTTTAAAATGTATGTGATCCATTGGTTAAAAATAAATGGGTCAATTTTTCTCATACCTACTCTTTCACTGTTTGACTTGATCAAGACTTTTCTAAGATTTTACACTACAAAATAGGTAAAAGTGTGTGATTCGTACTGATATGGTACCAGGTCAATATCGGTATTGGTCAATATCGGCATCGGACAATTCTCAAAGTTGCAATATCAGTATCGTATCGGAAGTGAAAAAGTCGTATCGGGACACCCCTAAAACACAGCATTCAAAATAAAGTTTAGAATAAATGACACTCAAATGTGCACTGTATTAACGTTTTGAATGATGCATTGGAGACATTCTGGGCTTACACTATGTACGTCAAAAAACAACGCTGAGGCAAATTGTGAAAAACAAGGTCTGAATCTCCTAAGCTTTATTTCTCTCTCCACAGTAGCATCAACACTGGCCTACAAGGGGAAGGTGAGGAAAAGTTGTTTTAGAAAAAAACGAAAAACAGATAAAAGTCTCACACATCAATATGGCACCAAAAAAGAGAGAAAAATAAAAATAAAAAGCAGCTGAGAAAGAAGTGTTATCTTCTGGTGGTCTGCTTCAAATGGTAATAACTCTAAATGTGGAAAAGGATAAGTGACGAGAAAACTTTTCATGCATGACTTTGGCCGGGAGAGCTACCAAAGCTGTAAAAATCGACAGCACTTTTTGCGAGTCAATAGTAAGACAGACACTTAAAAACCTTAGCAAGTCTGTTAGAAAAGGTGAAAATTCTGCTTGAACCACATTTGGCAGGTGAGATTATTTAGATGATAAGTGCAAACATAAGCAACACTGAATGAATTTTGAGATTAAAAAAAGCCATCTCTGATACAGATGTAACTATGCAATCTTGGATTGCTATTTTATATTAAATTCCTAAACCAGAAATGCAAACTGCCCTTTTATCCCAAGGCAGCACTAAAGTGTTTAAAATTGGGTTAAGGGGGAAATAGCAGTCATTTTCTGTGCTCAAAATGGAGGATTTTGCCTGGGAAGAAATGATGTGGAAGCTTGGAAAAGAAATGCAATCCATCTCTGTGATGATAGAATTTCATAGGAAAAGCTTCAATAGAGCAATTCTCTCTTACAAAGAGCTACAACTTAGGAAGGAGATTGACCCTTTATTAAATCAAATGCTCTTGCATGGATGATAACTCCCACTTATAGCACCTTCACATCTGTAAGTGGTGTGAAAAGATATCCTTCTGACCAAATCAGACCTTTTCTCAAGGTGCCATTACTTTTGAGCGCTATGGTTTTTTTTTTTGAACACGTATTTTCATTTGTGTGATTGTTGGGGGGGAAGAAAAATGACATAACTGACTTTTCTATGCTTTCTTGAGCTACACACACTTTAAAGATCTTTTAGAAAATCTAACTGTTTTGTACAGTGGGATTTAGTTTTGTGGATTTACCTGGGACTCCAGGGCTTGAATCTTCTCCTCCAATTCCTTGATTCTTTCTTCTTTCTTTTGAGACTCTGCCTGGGCCTCCTGTCGTGCACTGAACTCCTCATCAAACTGCAAGAAGGAAGACAAGCATGTCTATGTGCAGATAACAAACACGTGTACACAGCTTGTAAACACACACATGCACACGCAGGTAAAGCAGCAGGTTGTCTTCATAGAGCAGCCAGAGGGCACATCAACAGGAACCAAAACACACCATCTTACACTCAGAACCACTTCTATTCATAGCCTTTGTGGCCCTAAAGCCCCATTGTCCTTTGTCTTTGTTTGGGGCTTCGTTTCCATGTATGTTGATGGATCTAACCTTTGCAGAAAACAAGCCATGTCACAACAATGACTTCATTGGCCCAGCAGGATGCACTGTGAAATGGTGAGACTTGACTCTTAAGAAAAAAACATTCCAGGACCCCTGTAGTTGTAAGACTGAGGAAAAGCTGTATACCCAGACTGGATACAGTTTAGTGTTCATATTATAAATTTAATGCAGCCAAGTAACTGAAAAAAACATAGCTACAATTTCTTCAAAAGGAAAAAAAAAACAAAGGGCCATCTCAAGATGTAGAATTCTGCACATAACTCAACTCTCCTCAGCTCTGTGCACAAATAAGTATACATCAGAGCATCACCATTGATTCTTGTAATGCTGATACGGATCATGTAGCGTCACAGCCAGAAATTGATCAGGGCATGCAAAATCAATACCTTGTCTGGAAGCTCTGGAGAAGAAAAAAAATACTTTGCTGATGGGAGTTGGCTAAACCAAAGAGAAGCCATTGGAGTGATTAATGTCATACCTTTTTGGAGTATTCTGCTGCCTTTTGCTCACTTTCTTCAACTTTGGCTTTATCCACACACTGATCTGAAAATGACAAAACACTTCACAAAATGATCTTGCGAGATTAAGAAGTGGATATAGATCCAGTTTTTAAAACTTATCAGACTGAGTATGAATTAAATTGTGTTTTAGACTACTTGTTTTAAAATTAACTTAAAAACGGAATATTGCCTTGTATCATCAGTACAAACATCCAGTCTCTTAATAGAGTAAAATAAACTCATTGTATCCTAAAGGAGTCATGTTAAATTTAAATATGTAGGCTTTATTAAACTACTTACAATTAAACGTATTAATCTATAACAGAGACAGTTCCCTAAATAGTTTAAAACTGAAGCCGGTTTTTTTTGTGAGTACATGTACTGTTTTTCGATTTTAAAAATAAGGTTTGTGTTGGATAACTTGGATGAAGCTCAGTCCAGAGCACTTCCTGACATTTGTTTTTGCTTTATCCTGTTTTCTTCCAATTCGGAAAATGTTTTCAGAGTTTATCTGCTTTTATAAAGGCTATCAAAAAAAAGTCCAGCAGCAAATTCTATGTGAGGGAAAACTGTTCAAACAAAAGATTTTTTTTATAAAACCAAATAAAGAAAAACTGAGATGTGAAGTCTTTGTGAAGCAGACCTATTTGGCCATAGGGGTAATGTGTTACAGTTAAACACATTTCACCAATAGTGTTTTTAGTTTTGCTCAGATAAAGTGGAGATGATGTTTGTGCCCTGTTCAAATGTTTGTCTTTTAGCTTGCTGCTTCGTTTACTGTAAGATCACACAATGTGCACAACACATATGCTGCCTTAAAGGGATCCCTGATTAGTTGTAACATTAGACTTTATTTGATAAAAATATATTTTAACTGTAAATTAAAGACTGTAAAAATAATGTAGGCTGTTTAGTTTTGTAAATTTTTAAAAATATATTTTAAGATGTACGGGGCCATTTTATTTACACACAAATCATTCTAGGTAAATTATGATGTGGATAGATCCTCGGTGTGAGCGAGCTATATCCACCCTGAAGGTTAATCTTGGACAATATCTGATGATCGACTCTTTTAAATGAAACCA